TTTTCTCAGAAAACCAACTCTTTGTTGCATTGATTTTTTTTTTTTTTGTATTGTTTCCCTGGTTTCTATTTTGTTGATTTCATCCTTCAAGTTGATTATTTCCTGGCATCTACTCCTTCGGGGTGAATTCGCTTCTCTGTTTTCTAAGGTTTTCAATTGGGCTGTTAATTCTCTTATGTGACTATCCTCTGTTTTCTTCATATGCGCACTTAATGCAATGAACTTCACTCTCAGCACTGCTTTCAAGGTGTCCCATAAGTTTGGGTATGTTGTATCCTCATTCTCGTTGAATATTAGAAAGTCTTTAATTTCTTTCTTTATTTCTTCTTTGACCCAGGAGTGGTTCAATTGCACATTGTTCAGTTTCCATGAGTTTGCAGGTTTTCTGCTATTTGTGGTGTTGTTGAATTCCAATTTTAAAGCATGGTGGTCTGATAAGATACAGGGGACTATTCCTATTCTCTTGTATCTGTTGAAGTTTGTTATGTCACCTAGTATGTGGTTGATTTTAGAGAAGGTTCCATGTGGAGCAGAGAAGAAGATATATTCTTTTGTCTTTGGATGGAATGTTCTATAGATGTCTGTTAATCCCAGTTGAGACATAACTTCTGTTAATTCTTTTGTTTCTTTGTTGAGTTTCTGATTTGTGGTTCTGTCTAGTGTTGAGAGTGGTGCATTGAAGTCCCCCACTATAAGTATGTGAGGTTTTATATGAGCTTTGAGTTTTAGTAGTGTTTCTTTTACGAATGTGGGTGACTTTGTATTAGGGGCATAGATGTACAGAACTGAGACTTTGTGTTGATGGATTTCTCCTGCGATGAATATGAAATGACTGTCTTCATCTCTTTTGACTAATTTTGGTTTGAAGTCTAACTTGTTAGATATTAGGATAGCTAAGCCTGCTTGCTTCTTATTTCCTTTTGATTGGAAAATCTTTTCCCAAACCTTTACCCTGAGGTAATGTCTACCTTTGAATCTTAGATGTGTTTCTTGTATGCAGCAGAAGGATGGATTCTGTCTTCGTATCCATTCTGTTAGCCTGTGTCTTTTTATAGGTGAGTTAAGACTATTAATGTTGAGGGTGAGTAAGGACCATTGATTGTTGATGCTTGTTTGATCTAGGTTTGTTGTTGGCAGTGATATTGTGAATATATTAGTTCTGCTTCACCCTTGGTTTCTAGTGTAGTTGGATTATTTGTTGTCTACATTTTTGCGGGCATAGTTACCTTCCTTGGGTTGGAATTTTCCTTCCAATACTTTCTGTAGGGCTGGATTTGTAGATACGTATTGGGAAAATCTGCTTTTGGCGTTAAATATCTTGTTCTCTCCATCTACAGTGATTGGGAGTTTTGCTGGATATAGTAGCCTAGGTTGGCATCCGTGTTCTCTTAATACTTGTAGAACATCTCTCCAGGACCTTCTGGCCTTGTGGGTTTCCATGGAGAAGTCAGGTGTATTTTTGATAGGTCTGCCTTTATATGTTACCTGTCCTTTTTCCTTCGCTGCTCTTAATATTTTTTCTTTATTCTGTATGCTAGGTGTTTTGATTATTATATGTCAAGGGGTCTTTTTCCTTTGGTCCAGCCTATTTGGGGTTCGGTATGCTTCTTTTCCTTTCATGGGCATGTCCTTCTTCAAATTTGGAAAGTTGTCCTCGATGATTTTGTTGAATATGTTTTCGGCACCTTTGAGCTGGGCTTCCTCACCTTACTCTATGCCTATTATTCTTAGGTTTGGCCTTTTCATGGTGTCCCACATTTCCTGTATGTTTTTTGTTAAGGATTTGTTGGATGCATGATTTTCTTTGGTCGATGATTCTATTTCTTCTAGTTTATCTTCTGCGCCTGAGATTCTCTGTTCCATCTCTTGAATTCTATTGGTTATGGTTGTGTCTGTAGTTGCCGATTTTTTGCCCAGCTTTTCAATATCCAGCATTCCTTCCGTTTGTGTTGTCTTTATTTTCTCTATTTCAGTTTTCAAGTCTTGAACTATTTCCTTTACCTGCTTAATTGTTTTTTCTTGGCTTTCTGTACTTTCCTTAAGAAATTTGTTCATTTCTTCCATTTTTTTGTTTGTTTTTTTCATCCATTTCTTTAAGGGATTTTCTCACATCTTCTTTGAGGGTCTCTATCATTTTTATGATGGTGATTTTTAAGTCATACCCTTCTGCTTCCTCTGCTTTGTTGTTGTGTTCCATTCTAGTTGGTGTAGTTTCCCTAGATTCTGGTGGTGTCATGCTTGTCTTTCTGTTGTTAGGTGTTCTCTTGTATTGCCTTCTTCCCATAGCTTCTTCCAGTAGGTGTTGGTTGGGTTTCCCCCTCTCTCTATGATACTTCCCCAATGGGCTTATGTGGGTCTGTGATTCAATATCTGTAGCTCTGTGTGGTCCAAATTCTCTTCGAGGTTTCTCCGCAGACAGGAATCCAAGGATGGTGTCAAGGATGAGGATCCAGAAGAAGATGCCAGCAGGTACTCACAGTGGTCCTCTGGCCAATAGCTCTGGCCAATAGCTCTGCCCAGTAGCTGGTGGAAGAGGACAAGGGCTGAGCTGGAACTTGAGAAGGTTTTGCAGGATAGTTGGATCTCCCTGGAAACTGGCGCTCTCCAGCTGAGACCTCTTTCTTTGGCAGAGGCCAGGATTTGGTGATCAAGGATGTTGCCTGCAGGAACTCAGAGTAAACCCGCAGAGATAGGCGGATCTCTGGGAGGGGCCCAGGACTCCAGCAGAGGACTGGAGGCAGGGTCAGAATCCAAGCTGGTGGAAATTATGGGTGGTCCCATGTGGATAGTCAGGTCTCCTTTGTTCAGAGTTGCTCAGAGAAGTCTCCGAAGTAGGGTTGACTGTTGGCTCCACCCTCTGTCCCAGTGCTCAACCATTTTGGCAGGACCATGTGTGGGGTAGGGCACAGGGTAGGGGGGGTAGTCTGGCCTTGGGGATGGGTGGGGGTGTATCAGAGCTCCAAGGGTGCTCTAGATGGGGACCTGAGACAGGAGCAGCAGGATCAGGGGCCAACCCAGGGAATTCGGGTGGGGGAGGGGGGAAAAGAGATTGTAGGGGAAAGACAGCCCTGATTGGACCCAGACTCACCTCTGGCCAATAGCCAGCAGAAGAGGACAAGGGCTGAGCTAGAACTTGAGAAGGTTTTGCAGGATAGTTGGATCTCACTGGAAACTCTAGATTTTTAAATATAGCATTAATTTGGGTCAATTAGAAATTATAAACACCTTAACAATTTTCTTTCTTTCTTTATTTTATATAACCAAGTCCATTTAAATGAAAACAAATATTTATAGACAATATTTGCGAATTTGGGCATCATTCTTTCCAAACTACTTCCTGCTGGAAAGGGGCACAGACATGGGGGATTCTAAGAAGATGTAGAAATCCTGGCTGTAGTCTGTAAGGCTGCTCTGTCCAGCTGTTTTGAATGTAGGATCACCTGGTACTCTTTTTTCAGGCAGTCTGGCTTTATCAAACCACTTTAGTCTGGAAGGAATCCACAGCTTTGCATTTTCTGTGGAAACAAAAATAGAAATCCTACTCCCCAGTAACTTGTCCTTGAACTTAAATTTTGGAGTCAAAGCATTTTTTAATTTAATTTATTATTTTACATGTCGATCGCAGTTCCCTCTCCCTCCCTCTCTCCCTCCTTTATTCCCTTTCTCCCCCCTCACTTTCCAACCTCCCTTCCTTTTACCCTCTCTGCCCTCTCACTTGCACCCAAACCACCCTTCCCTCCCACCCCCCACCACAATTCCATATGAAGGGGAATGCCATCCAGTTGGGGTCATGTAAATCTGACAGGTCATGTGAAGTAGGGACTGGGGCTTCTCTCCTGTCTCTAGGTTAAGGCAGTTATCCCTCCATGGGGGATATGTTCACAAGGTCCTTTGGTGCACCAGGGATACATCTTGGCTCCACTGTCTGAGGTCCCTTAGACTGTTCAGTCTTTCTGGCTGAGACCCATATTCAGCGGGGCCTGAGTCAGTCCCATGCTGGCTTCCCAGCTATCAGTCTGGTGGCCCATTATCTCTTCCTTGTTCACGTAAGCTGTCTCTATGTGTTTCTGCTGCCTGGTCTTGTCCTCTCCATCTGCTTCTGGGTTCTAGCTCGACTCAGTGTTTATGTATGTGTGTTTGCTCCTGTTTCCAAAAGGTATTCCATGAGGGCTCCATGGATAATTGTTGATCTCACTCTCCGGGAAGGGCATTTATGGTAGCCTTTCCATGGATGCTCATATTTTTAGTTGGTGGCAGTCTTGTAGTTCTCTAGTCCTTTCTTTGTGTTCAGTTTTCTTTTCAAACCAATATTGGCTCCCTCTTTTATGTTCTCTCTCTCTCTCTCTCTCTCTCTCTCTCTCTCTCTCTCTCTCTCCTGTCTTCTATTCTTAACCAGGCTATATCTTCCTGGTTGCACGTGTTTTCCTTTCCTGCCCCTCGTTTTCTCCTACTTCTCTCTCCTTTCACTGCCCCCATTCCTGCCACTTCCCCTGTGCTCCGGGAGACCTAACAGCATCTTAACCATTTTCATTTCCTGTGTGTTTGATAAATGTGTATGGTTATTTTTTTTTCTTTTTCTTAATGATAGGGTTTCAAAGTAGCAATGGTTCCAGTCATGGAAGTCACTCTATTGACAAGGCTAGCCTTGAATAGACAGAGATCCACCTTCCTCTACAACCCTTGTTCTGGGATTCATTCTCACTACCTCATCTTCCTGGTGTATATCTAGTTTAAAAAGTATCCGTTTCGATCTTCATGATCTATAATTGTGTTTGAGAGTGAGCTAGGTAGAGTGTTACTACCATGCTTAAAGATTTCTGTTGAGTTCGTAAAATTACTTAGGAGAGAAAACAAGGACCTCCTCAACCCATGTGGAAAACTGAGCCTGTTACCATTCTTGCTTCAACATTATGGAATTCTTTCTTCTTTGCCTGCCACTCCCAGGAAAGGAGCTGTGAATCAAGCCACTACACAGACTAATGATTGTGACTCTGTTACAGAAAGCAACTTTTCCCAACTCTGGCCCTGCTAAATGCAAAGTGGCTGTCCATGGCTTGACTCCTCCACTGGTGACCAAGGTTTCAGGCCCTAGAGATCATGGACACCCTGACATTCCACAGAATCCAAGAGGCCAGAAACCACCACCACTTCCTGCAGATGCTCGACAGTATGTCCCATCAAAGGTATGTGCTGGCCCAAGGTTTCCTCCAAAGTCAGGTAGGCTTTTTAAAAGGCCCTTATATGAATAAATATGTATCTGTGTGTTCCTTCATGTTTGGTTCCTGTTACGATGAGAAACACTGGCCAGAAGCAACTTGAGGGAGAAAGGGTTGTCATGGCTCACAGGTAACAGTCCAGCAGCAAAGAAGTCAATGTTTCACCTTGAACTACCTTAGGGAATTTTGAATTTTAAATGTACTGTGATAGTTCAGAAGATCAGCAAATTTACAAGCACTTTTTTTCTCCTCAAGGCAGGGTTTTTCTATAACTTTTGAGCCTGTCCTGGAATTCACTCTGTAGACCAGGCTAAGCTTGAACTCACAGAGATCCACTTGACTCTGCTTTCCAATTTTGGGATTAAATGCCTGTGCCACCAATGCCTAGCTACAAGCAGGTTTCAGGCCCAAATTATGCGTATACCATTTTATAGAAATGTGTACTGAGGCTGATATTTACATTAATTATTTATATTTTGTCTTTAGATTACTGGCTAAAGTGCTTAAAAGTATTTCTTCTGGGTAGTTCTTCCCACATTATCATATTTAAAATCTAAGATCACATTAATTATTTGCTGAAATCATTGAAATTTCTTCTTACACTTACATTTTAAAATAAAAGATTTTTTTTCTTTTATAGCATACTTTCCCCTTTGGAATCAGAAGTTTCTACACAATAAATCATGTTTTAAAGCAATAGAGAAGAACCAGCTTAGTTATCCCTGCCTGTTCTCTTCCCTCATATCTATTCTTAACCTTCCAAGAGTATGACATGTATTTTCATTCGGAAGTTTTGTAGTTGTTCTTGTCATTACAGAAAATTTATTTAGGATATCATGCCAGGATCACTGATTTCAATGTTACTCTTGAAAGTTTTACTACATTGAAATCTGTTCTACAATATGTCTTGAGTGTATTGAGATCAAGAGTAGCTGCTAAGACAGTGCAAAGACATCTGAAATTGGTGGTGGTGTTCCATGTAGGTAAGAAGTCCACTTTAAATATCAAGATTATTTGTAAGATCAAATATTGTGGTGTGAGTTTTGTACCAGTATGGGCTGTAGTTTGTGGTTTACCATGTGTGCCATACAGGATTTCAACCTCCACTGTCGTTTACTCATCTCTTGCAACAGGGTAGAATGTGTACAAACTGAGGGGCTTTCCATTTTCCCTTCTCCCAACTTCTGGGTTCTTCTCCCCACTCTCTCTTTTGAGAAGTAGAAATGAACTCTCTCCAGACTTGATTCTGCCTTCCAAACAATCTTCCCCAGAACCTCCACAAACACAGGAGACCTGACCATTTCTATGGCGGTCATTTCTTCTCATTTTCAGTTCAAGATCACTTTTGTTACTTATGTGATTATATTGTTGCTCAAATTGCAGCTTAATGGAAACATATTGTCAGGATAGTAGTTTGTAGAAAAGATGATTTAAATATGAATCTTATGAGTGAATTATTTCCACTTCATTTTATTCTGCATAATGTATTTTACTTTGATTATGTCATCCATAATTGTGGAAGTTTTATACAGGCAATCTCATAATTGATGTATCTTAAACTCAAAAAGCTGTTTCTTTATACCAGAAATGTGTTCACCATGATTTTAGGCAAAAGTAAAGGTAACTGTGTGTTTAATCAAATGAATTTTAATTTATTTAAAGCATTGTTTGTCTTTGGTATTACTGAACCCAGCCAGTTTCCCATAAACGTTTTCCACTAAATTAGTCTTTTCAGCTGTGCAAAAAATTAGTCCTTCAAAAGAGAAGTTTGTGGGGGGCTGGACTGATGGTGAATCATTAGTTAAGACTGGAATCTAGTGCAGATAAGAGGACATGGTCTTGGTTCCTAACATCCACATGGCAATTCCAATCCCAGGAAAACCAATGGCCTCTTTTACCTACAATTTCACAATGTATGTATGTGGTGCTTACCCATACATATAGTGTACAGATATTCATGAAGTACACTAGGCATGCCTGTAATGTACCAGGTATTCATTGTTGCAAAAGGCATACACGTAGTGCACTAAGCATGCAAGTAGAGCACAGGCATGCATGCAATGCTATGTACAATATGCTTGCCCATGTTATACATCATTCATGATATGTACCAGCATGTATGTAATGCTCTATACAGGTATGTAGTTCATGGTTGTGAGTATATAGTCCAGAGGCATGCAAGTACACAAAATACTTGCATACATAAATTACAGAAAAAAAAACTAAAAATAATAAAACAACATAAATTAACATAAAATATTTTTTTCTTTTTTGTTTTAATGTAAATTAACTCATTTATTAGAGGCAGGGGTTTCCAAGCAATAGCATTTCTACTGGTCTTTCAGTTCCTTCAGTCCTCTGATGGCAGACTTCACTGTGACTGCAGAAATAGTGTTGTGAGTCTAGGCCCCACCTGCCACTATATTCATGCAGGAACCACAGTGCCAGATGCCAACTGCTCATCTCTTCATCGTGGTCTTGCCACAGAAGGAGCAAGTGTACTTGGCGTGCTGGCTGATTTCAATTTTCTTCACCATTTTCCGGAGGGAGGCACCATAGTGGGTCCCGTATTTCCCGATGATCCTGACCATCTTGGCGCGTTTAGCCATGTAGCTGGAACCTAAGCCCAAGCCCGGAGAGCACATTTTTCTTTTTTCTTTTAATTTCTTTCTATTTATTTATTTAATTATTTATTTTGAGAAATGGGACAGGGTTTTTCTTTGGCTTTGGAGGCTGTCCTGGAACTAGCTCTTGTTCATGACGTTGGTCTCAAGCTCATTTAATCTGCCTGCCTCTGCCTCCCAAGTGCAGGGATTACAAGCATGCACCACCACTGCCTAGCCAACATTTGTGGATTTTCTGATTTGAGTATCTTACAAAGTATGCACCCTACTACTTTTAGTTAGATATAAATGACCCAAAATAAAGCAATACATTTTAAAACCTTAAATATGTTTTATACTTGAAAGACAGGATATTGTCTAATGATGAATTTCAGGATTTTCTTTTGTCCACTGACTAGTTTTAAGGTTCACAACCAATGGGTGTGTGTGTGTGTGTGTGTGTGAGAGAGAGAGAGAGAGAGAGAGAGAGAGAGAGAGAGAGAGAGAGAGGAGAGAGACAGATATACAGAGAGAGAGAGCATGCACAAGCAGACACAGGCACACCCAATTTGTGCTAAATGTATGATGATTAGTTAACAGCTGTAAGATAATTTTTCTACAGTAGGTTATTTAGAGAGCTCAGGGTCTCAGGCTGACACAGGGAGTAATTCCCCTATATCCTGGAAGTTCTACTGACTGGTTTCTTATATAATTTCTGGTTCTCTTATTTTGACTTTCTAGTTATTGATTTGTTTGTTTCTTAGAGACAGGGTTTTTGTGTGTGTAGCTTTGATTGTCCAGGCACTTGCTGTGTTGACCATGCTTGCCTTGAATTTGGAGCCATTCCTGTTTCTGCCCATGGAGTGCTGGAATTAAGGGCATGAATCTCTACATCTTTCGTTTTATTCTTAATGTGTGAAATATTGATTGTTTTCTGTGGGTTGGGTTGAGAGAGCTGACACCATGTAACTGTCCTAAGGCACCTCTTTCTGAGGTAGGGAGTTGAAGTTTCTCCAGACTGGTGTTCATGTTCTTGGTCTTGCGTACTGATAGGAATGGAGGTTGAGACCTAACTAATGAATTTCCTATCAGGGGGTTGAATCAGTGGTTTTTCTCTATTCAGTTGGATTTTGCATAGGTGTCAAGGGACAGCATAAGAACTCATTCTCTTGCACAGAGCTGTGATAGTGACTAGAATGGTTCCCTAGTGTCATTGGGAAAAGTCAGTGGTCAGGAGGTGTTTCTGCTCCAGACAGGAAGCTAAGCTTTGTGTTGAACACACGGTTTCCCCCTGTTCTGTTTCTACATTTTTACAACATGTATTTCTACCTCATCATTCCCATTTTATTCTTGATTGAGCAGATTTAAAAGAACTTATGACTGGTAATTATTTACAATAAAGTTTTATATTGAAACTTTTGTAATCTTGACATCATTAAATCTCTGTTTCAACCCGTTTTGCTTCTTTCTCTTCCTGGACCACTATTTTACTGTCTGTTAGCTATTTCTATTCCCAAAATGCTATTAATTTTACCATGCATAGAAGCATGCATACTTGTTCTATATCTGACCTAAAATTTACATTTCAAGAAATCGAACTCATGATTTAAAGGCTAATTCTGGCCTGAAGTAATCACATACTAAATTTCAGTCCCTTTCTCTGTGAATCCTAGAGACCAAGTTTTATGCTATGTCATCATTTGCTCTTAGCATCAAGACAAGAGCCTGAAAACACATTTAGTTTCCCTTACACTTTGGGTAATTGAAGTAATAATGGGAAGGGTGAAAGCTCAAGGAATTGAATTGTGCATTTTTTTGACCAATACAAATGTATAATCATAGGTTCTCTGCTTTATCTGCCTTTAAAAACAAAACATAAAAGCAATATATAATCCTTAGAAAGTTAGACAATGGTAGATACAATGGAAAGCATCTGTTCAGAAGCAATGTTAACAACTCTTCAGAGGATGCTGCCATGTGGCTTTTGTCCTTCAACTGCCTTTTTAAATATAGATTCTTATATTGACAGCATATTATATATTTATATATATCCATGAACATATTTTTAAATTTTTTTTTTCATTTCACATAGAAACAACATATTCTTCTCACTCTCCTTCTGCACAATGACGCACTTCCACCAATAAGGCCATACCTCCTAATAGTGCCACTTCCTTTGGGAGCCATTTTTTCCCAAACCACCACAGTTGGCATCTCACACAGATTGTGAGACACATTTCCTCCGTCTCTTTTTATAGGCAGGACTACTTGTAAGGTTAAGCTTTTGTTGCTGAGTTGGTCTCTCAGTCCCTCAATTTGAAGCCTCACCTGATTATAGCAAATGGCCGGTACAGGATCTGGATCCCTTAACTGTGGTCAGACTTGTAGTTTCCTGGGAGTTTCTATTGCACTAGATTTCTTGTTCATCCCTGACATTTCCACACACAATCTTCAAATTGCTTAGGGTCCAGCTGGAAAGGTCAGCAGCACATGACAAAAGAATATCTGTTCTGTCTCCCTCTGCTTTGAGAATCCTAATGAGGAACACTATTGTATTTGTGTCAATTTATTCTCTTCCCTGGCATGGGGAGTGGAACATGTCAGTGCCATTTGGATCTGAAAATGGTCTAGGAATAAAATAAAACTCATCAAGTTTTCCTGGTTTAATTTTCCTGTCTAGATAGGCCAGTATCCTCTACTTTGGAATCCGGGAAGAGTGCCAGCAAACATAACCCTGGGGTAAGTATTGGACATTGAAATCTACCCGTGGATCCACAAGGAGTTTCTTGATTTGATTAGAACAAGACAGAGCTCTTCTACTGTATGATATCTCCATATTTATGAAATATACCTGAACTTAGCATTAACCCTTTCATTGTTGGCTTATAACCTGGGAAATTGTACAGATCACAGGCCAGGTATTGATGGTCCATGTAATCCTAGCATTTAGGCAGAAGGATGGCAATTTGAAAGCTAGTTTGTTTTGTATAAGCAGATCTTGTCTCAAAAAACTACACAGGCTGGAGAAATGGCTTAGAGGTTAAGAGCCTTGCCAACTCTCGTAGAGGACCTGGGTTTGTTTCCAAGCACCTGAGTGATGGCTCCCAATACTTAACTCCTGTTTCAAGAGATCTAAAGCCCAAGTCTATCCTTCCAGAACACTAGATGTGTGTAGTATGCAGACATACATGATGGCAATATACCAATTCATGTGTAATTTAAAAGAACACTAAAATAAGGTACCTAATACTTTAAAAAGTTCAACGTTTAGATGAATTTCAAAATTTATTTGCATGCTGTACACTATTTCAGATATTTCTTCCTTGATACCTTATTTGAATCTTAAAGTTTATTTTCGTTTTCAAATATAGCATTAATTTTGGCCATTTTTAAAAATCAACATCTTTACCATTTTCCTTTTATTGGTGTTTTTTTGTAAAAGTTTCTTTTATTTGTATGTTCCCCCCCCCTGGAGATAGGGTTTTCCAGAATCTATGGAGCATGTCCTCGAACTCAGAACTCACACTTTTCACCAGATTGGCCTCGAACTGGCAGAGATCCACCTACCTTTGCTTTCTGAGTTCTGTTATTTAAAACCTGTGCTACCACCACATGATACATTTCTATTTTTAGAGAGTCTGTTTTGATATGCTTGAACTGTACTTGCATTTTAGGATGAGTGTTACTACCTATCATGCTTAAAGATTTCTCCTGAGTTATTTAAAATACTTAGGATAACAAATAAGGGGCTCCTACCCTTCTGTGGAAAACTGCCTGTTCTCATGCTTTCTGGAGTTCCATGTACTGCTTTCTTTTACGCCTTTCACATCCAGTAAAGGATCTGTGAATCAAACAATTTCACTGACTGTTGATTGCCACTCTGTTACAGAAATCAACTTTTCCCAATTCTGGCTATGCTGGATGCAAAGCTTCTGGACCAGACTTGAATGTTCCACTGGTTCCTGAGGTCAGACCCCCCAGAGGCCCTGCCTTCCCAGGGGATCCAGGTTGCCATGTTCTGCCTCCAGGAAACATCTATGGAGATGCTCCACAGTATGATCCACCAAGGGACTTCCCAGGCCCACCATTCCCTCCTATGCCAGGTAGGCTTTTTTAAAGGACCATGTATGTGCATCAGTGCTTATCAGTGCTTCCTTTCAAGTTCGCTTCCTGTTAGTGTAAGAAACACTGGCTGGAACTAACCTGAGGAGGAAAGGGTTTATATGGCTCACAGGTCACTATTCAGCAAGAAAAGAAGTCAATCCACCCTAGGTAATTAGAATTTAATATGTCCAGTGTTAGATCAGATAATCAATAAATTCACAAGCACATTTTCCTTGTTTTATTCCTCTAGGCAGGGTTTCTCTATAGCTTTGGAGACTTTCCCGAAAATCATTGTGCAGACTAGACTAGCCTTGAAATCACAAATATCCACCTGTCTCTGCTTCCCAAATGCTGGGTTTACAGTCTTGAGGCACAAATGTCCTGCTACAAGCAGTTTCACCTTAAAACATTTGTATTTTATTTGACAGAAATGTTTTGAGGCCATTATAGTAATTAATTATAGTTGTTTTTCTTAAGATATCTGACTAAAATATTTTAAATCATTTCTCCTGTGTAGTAGTTCCTACAGGATCATATTTAAAATCTGAGACCATAGCTATTAGTTGAATTCATTGAAATATTTTCCTACCATTACATTTTAAAAGAAATGTAATGTACTGCTTTTACATCATACTTGCTCCTTTGGAATCATGAGTTTCTACACAGTTAATTATGTTTTTAAGTAATAGATAAGAACCAGCTTAGTTGTCCTAGGTCTCTCTCTCTCTCTCTCTCTCTCTCTCTCTCTCTCTCTCTCTCTCTCTCTCTCTCTCTCTCTCTCTCTCCCTTTCTGTCCTCACCTCTGCTCTTAAACTTCTATTGGAATGGCATGAGTTTTGTTTGGGAAGTATTAAGTTAGTCCTTAGCATTAGAGGAAATGTTTCTATTAGGATATCAGTTCAGGATCACTGATATGCATGTTAAGTTTGAAAGTTTTACTCCATGGAAAAGCTGTTTTACAGTAAGTGTGGATTGCATTGAGATCTTTTTATCTGCCAAGTTAGGACAAACAAACCCGAAAGTGTTGTTGATGTTCTTATTATTCCTAAGTAGATAAGAAGTCCAATTTTGAAGGTCAAGTTTTATATGTGAGAACGAATATTGTGATGTGAGTGTTTGGATAACAGAGTAGGGGCTGGAGTTAGTGTTTCAATAAGTGTACAGTACAGGATTTCTTCTACCATTGTCTTCTACCCATCTCTTTGAGCAGGGAGAAATGTGTATGAACCAAGGTGCTTTCCATCTTATCTTCACTCAAGAGTTGGGTTCTTTCCCCCACTCCCATATCCTCCAGAAAACATCTATGGTGATCAATGTGGCTATTTTCCTACAAGAATCTTCCCTGGTCCACCATTTCCCCCAATGGCAGGTAAGCTTTTTTAATGGTTCTTGTGTATGTCAATGTTTATCTGTGTTTTCTTCAAGTTTGCTTCCAGTTACTGTGTTAAAACTATCCTTAACCAACTTGAGGTTGTAAGGGTTTATATGGTTCACAGGTTATATCCCAGCCACAAGAGAAGTCAAGGCTTCCCTTGACTTAGGGAATTTTGAATTTTGATTGTTTTTTGATAGGTCAGAAAAATCAGCAATTTTACCAGAGGGTTGGTTTTTTTGTTTGTTTGTTTGTTTTGTTTTCCTCAATTCAAGGATTTGCTATCACTTTGGAGCCTGTGTTGGTCTGCTTACCTTCCAAATTAGTACAAACACACCTGAAACTGATGGTGAAGTTATTTTTTTTCCTAACTAGGTGAGAAGTATTTATTTGAGAGTTGAAATATGTTGGTGTTAGTGTGTGGATATCAGGATATGGGCCTGACTTAGTGGTTGAACAAGTGTGTAGTATGTGGTTTCAACTTGCATTGTCCTTTACCCATCTCTTCCAACAGGAAGAAATGCATACGAACCATGGGGATTTATACCTTACCTTCCTATAAGAGCTGGGTTCTTCCCCCCACCACCATATCCTCCAGAAAATCTCTATGGAGATCCAAGACATTGCATTCCACCATGGGATTTTGCTAACCCAACTTTTCATCCATTTCCAGGTAGGCTACTTGAAAGTCCACGTATGACTCAATATTTATCAGCTTTTGTTCAAGTTTGGTTACTATTACTGTGAGAAACATAGGCCAGAACAATCTTCGGGAGAATAGTGTTTATATAGCTCACATGTTACAGTCTATAGTAGGTACTAAACTAGCTAACATTAAGAAAGAATAAAATTCAGAAATTTAAATTTTCATTGTGTATTTGTTGAGTTATTTATTAGGGAAATTTTTACGTAATAGTATATTCTATATGCTGAGGGCAAGGTTGGCACAGGTAGAAGGATGGAACTGGGTGGTGCATCCTGAGTTGTTTCCTTAGGCTGACAGGGCTGAATAGGTCAACATCACCCTGCAAAAGGATATCTGTGCTGTTTAAATTTCTCCTAGTCTGAGGCTGCTTTTGGCACCCTAATGAAGTATATTATTGTATTTAAGTCGCATTGTTCTCTGTACCTGCAAGGGGAGTGGGATATATCAGGGCCAATTGCATCTGTTAATGGTCTGGGAATAAAATTAGTACTCATGTAGCTTTTTTTTGGGGGGTGTAATTTTTGTCTAGATGGGCCAGTACCTTCCACTTTGGAATCCGGAAAGCATGCCACCAAACATGATACTGGGGTAAGTATTGGAAATTGAATTCTACCTGTGGATCTACAACTAGTTTCTTGGTTTTATTAGAACAAGGCTTGAGCTCTTCTACTTTGTTATATTAATAAAATGCACTTGCACTTAGATTAACACATTCTTTATTGATTTGTATCCTTCTGTGAAATAGTATGGAGCACAAGGCAGGTTTTGATGGCCCATGTAATCCTATCATTTTGGCAGGCTGAGGCCAGGCATGGTAATTTGAAAGCCAATGTGGACTATATGACTATATGAACTAGCATTTGCCTCAAAAAAATATAAGCTTTAGAAATGCATACACTTTAAGAACACTGGTGGCTCTCCTACATTACCTGGATTTGATTCCTAGCACCTGAGTGTGGGCTCACCACCCTTCTTAACTCCATTTTAAGACATCTGAAATTGTATTCTATCCTTCCAGAATATTGAATGTATAGAGTATGCAGATATGCATGCAGAAAAAAACACATTCCAGTAAGATGAAAAAGTATTAAACAAACAAAAGAAAGAAACCTGATATCTCCCACTTTATGAAGTACAACATTTAGATGAACTTCCAAGCTTTTTTTATGTACTATACACTATTTCAGATATCTTAAAAAGTGTCGTTTTTTGATGTAGCTGAACTGTGTTTTTGTTTTAGGGTGAGCTAGGTATATTGTTACTAATATGCTTAAAGATTTCTGTTTAATTAGTAAAATTAATTAGGATATCAAATAAGCTGATCCTACACACATGTGGGAAACTCAAACTGTTCACAGACTTGCTGGAATATCATGGACTTCTTTTTCTTTGCCTGACACTCCCAGTAAAGGAGCTGTGTCAAGCCACTTCACTGACTGCTGATGTGGATTATCATTCTGTTACAGAAGGAAACGTTGCCCACCACTAGACCTCCTGAAAACAATGCAGCTGGTCATGGCTTGACTCCTCCACCTGTTCCCAGGCTTAGAGGCCCTAGAGGCTCTAGAGGTCCTAGAGGCCCTGCCTCTCAATATGATCGAAGAGGCCGGATCCCACCACCTCCTCCTCCAGGAAACATCTGTAGAGGTCCTGGACAGTATGTCCCACAAAAGAAATTTGCAGGCCCACAGTTTCCTCCAATGTCAGGTAGGCTTATCTAAAAGTCTCTGTATGTGTCCATTTTTATCTATTCTCTCCTTCAAGTTTGATTCCTGTTACTGTGAGAAACACAGACCAGAACCAACTTAAGGAGGAAAACATTGCATGGGATCACGGGTTACATTTCAGCAGCAAAGGATTTCAAGGCTTCAACTTGATCCATCTTATGGAATGTTGAATTTGAACTGTGTTATGATAAGCCAGAAGATCAGTAAAATTACAAGCTGTTTTTTGTTTATTTGCTTGTTTTTGTTGTTGTTTTTACCTCCACATTGCAGGGTTTCTCTAGCTTTGGAGCCTGTCTTGGAACATTCTCTGTAGATGAGGCTTCCCGTGAGTAATGGAGATCCACCTGTCTCTGCTTCCCATGTACTGGGATTAAATTCAAGTTTAAAATATACCCAGAAGCAAATAGTATTAGGATTAAAACTATGTGTGTTTCATTTGATAGTAATGAATTGAGGCCATTATTTCAAATAATTATTAAATATGGACTTACGATTATAGACTAAAGTGTTTCACAGTATGACTTCTAAGCAATAGTTTTCACATGATCGTGTTTAAAATCCAAAATCAGTTTATTATTTGGTGAATTCATGAAATTCCTTTATACACTTACATTTTAAAATAAATGTAATTAGTTGCTTTTATAGCATAATTACCCCTTTGACATCATGTGTGTGTACACAGTAAGTCATGTTTTCAAGTACTAGAAAAGAACAAGCTCAGTTGTGCTTGGTGACTTATCTCTGCCATGGCCTCTAGTCTTAAGCTCCTTGGAGAACGATATTTGTTTTTTGAGTGAATTTATTCCACTGGAATTATAGGAAATTTCTCTTGTCGAATGTCAGGTCGATATTATCATAGGACTGTTAAGTATGAAAGTTTTACTGTATTGAAATCTATTCTAAAATAGGCCTCCAGCATATTGAGATCTGGCATAGCTACAAGATTGGACAAATACAACTGAAATCATTGGCGATGTTCTTACTTATTAATCATATGTAGCAAAGAAGTCCATTTTTCAATGTAAAGATTTGTTTGTAAATCAAGTATTATATGAGTGTTGACATATTACCACAAGGGCTGGAGCTATTGGTTTAATAAGTGTAAGGTATAGGGTTTTACTTTCCGATGACCTAGACCCATCTCCTGAAATTGAGAAAAGTGCATGAACCTATGGGCTTTCAAAATTTCCTCAACAAAAGTGCTGCATTTTCCCAAACCCCCACATCCTGAGTGTAGAAATGATCTCCCTCCAGAATCAATTCCACTTTCCCAACATGTACATGAAACTCCATCCTACACCAGGACCTCCTGAAACACAAGGAGACCTGGCAATTTCCATGACAATAATTTATTCTCATTTGCACTCTGACAACTGCTGTTCGTTCTGTGACTCTGTTGTGGTTCAGAAGGAAGCTTAATACAATTAAATTTCAGAATAGTATTTTGGAAAGAAGGATGATTTAAATACTATCTTTGAGTAAGTTATTTCCATTTATTTCACTATGGATAGTAACATTTACATTGATTATTACCTCTTATATGATGAAGGGAGTTAGGCATACAGTCTTAGTGATGAGGATACCTTAAACTCAAACCTCTGTCTCTTTACACCAGGAATGTGTAGAACATCTGGTTGTAGACAATTGTAAAAGTAACTGTAGCTACAATCAATCAAATTTTAATTGAAGTAAATTCTTATTTGGCAGTGTTAATATTAAAACCAGCTTGTGTCCCATAAACATGGTTCCATAAATGAGTACTTTTTACTATGTAGTTCCAGAGGGAAGGGTCTGAGCTGGATAAATGGTGGATCACTGGTTAATACTGGCTCCTCCACAAGAACTGAGGACTTGGACTTTGTTCCCAGCATCCACATATAGCTATAGTGCAAGGCAATACTCTCTGTTGGGATGGTAGTACTCCCTGTTAGCAGCATATCTTGGCAGATATACCATGACTGGGGCATCCCTAGTATCTTCTTTCTGTGTATCACATTCATGTGTGATGTATGAGAAGGCCAGAACTGGGCATCAAAGCCCCTGGAAGTGCTGTTACAGATGGTTGTGAGCTGTTGTATTGTTGCTGGGAATTAAACACAGGTCCTAAGGAAGAGCAGCCTGTATCCTTAAACACTGAACCCATTTATCCACACCATTGATGTTGATAATATTTTAGGAGTGCCACCTAATGTGTGTGTGGAAGGGTAATTGTGGTGACATAGTAATGGTTTCCTATATTTGGCCATAGTACAAACTGTCCTTTGCTCCCTAGGTATCATCTCATTGGTCTCTATTTGCAGATGATATGATAGTTTACATAAGTGACACAATAAACTCTACCACGGAACTCCTACAGCTGATAAACACCTTCAGCAAACTAGCAGGATTCAAGATAAACTCAAAAAAGTCAATAGCCCTACAATTTTCAGACGACAAAGAAACAGAGAAAGAAATCAGAGAAACATCACCCTTTACAATAGCCACAAGCAACATCAGGTATCTTGGGGTAACATTTACCAATCAAGTGAAAGACCTATATAATAACTTGGTCGCTCAAAACAAAGAAATTAAAGATACCAGAAAATGAAAAGATCTCCCATGCTCTTAGGTAGGATAAACATAGTAAATATGGCACCTACAGATTCAATGCGATTCCCATTAAAATCCCACCACAATTCTTCACTGACCTTGAAAGGATAATAATCAACTTTATGTGGAAAAACAAAATCCCAGGATAGCCAAAAAAAAAAAAAAAAAAAAAAAAAAAAACCCTATACAATAAAAGAACTTCAGGAAGCATCACCATTCCTGACTTTAAGCTCTACTACAGAATTATAGTTCTGAAAACAGCCTGGTATTGGCATAAAAATAGACAGATAGACCAATGGAATATAATTGAAAATCCTCATATTATCCCACATACCTATGAACACCTGATTTTTGACAAAACAGCAAAAATTATACAATGAGAAAAGGATAGCATCTCCAATAAATGGTGCTGGCACAATTGGATGAGGATGTGTAGAAGACTACGGATAGAACCATGTCTGTTGCCATGCACAAAATGCAAGTCCAAATGGATCAAAGACCTCAACATCAATCCAACCACATTGAAACTCTTAGAATAGAAAGTAGGAGGTATCCTTGAACAAATTGGTATAGGATACCACTTCCTGAATGGGGCACAGAAACTGAGACGAAAAATTAATAAATGGGAACTCTCCAAACTTTCTGTAAAGCAAAGGACACAGTGGACAAGACCAAATGGCAGCCCACAGAATGGGAAAGATGTTCACAAATCCTATATCCCACAAAGGGCTGATCTCCAAAATATGCAAACAACTCAAGAAACTAGTCAACAAAACACAAAATGAGCCTATTAAAAAATGGGGTACATAACTGAAGAAAGAATTCTCAATAGGAGAAATCAAAAAGGCTGAAAGACACTTAAGAAAGTGCTCCACATCCTTAGCTATCAGGGAAATGCAAATCAAAACAACATTGAGATACCTGTTGTTGTTATGCCTGCATTCTCAGTATTGGGGATATCTTAACAACTATTATCTATTTCATTAGTCCAGGAATGTGTAGAAACATCTGGCTCCAGACAAACGTATAGCCCCTCAAAATTTAATTGAAGTAAAGTCTTATTTGGCAGTGTCCCATCAACATGGTTCCATAATGAGTACGTTTTATTCTGTGCTTCCAGAGGGCAGGGTCTGTGGCTCGAAAAAAATGGTAGGTGACTGGTTAATACTGGCTCCTCCAGTAGAACTGAGGACTTGGGCTTTGTTCCCAGCATCTACATAGAGCTTCGGTGCAAGGCACTTTTCTCTTTTGGGCTGTAAGTACGCCCTGTTAGCAGCCCTCCTTGGCAGCTATCCCATGATTGTGGCAATGCTTCCATCTTATTTCTGTGTATCACGCTCATGTGTGACACATGTGAAGGACATAAGAAGCCTTCAGAGAACCTGGTATTGCAGATACAGATGGCTGTCAACTGCTGTGTAGTTTCTGTGAACCAAGCACGGGTCCTAAGGAAGAGTGGACTGTTCCCTTGACCACTGGAGCCATTTGACCACACCATTCATGCTGTGAACGATATAGGTGTGTCAGGTAATGTGTGTGTGTATGTGTAAGGTTAGTTTTGATGCCATAATAATGAATTCCATTATCTGGCCATAATACAAACTCTCCTTTGTTCCATGGGTATCATCTCATAGATTACAGTCCATTTATATCCATCCTGTTTCCTACAACGATATGAAGCCGGCCGATGCCAATGGATATTTAAACGACTACCTGTAAAATAATTTGTTTTCTTATTCTTAATAAATTATCTTATTCCATCATTTATATTTAGTAGATTTAACTTGTCAGGTTGCCTGCTACTGTCACTCATTATACACTGGATCAGGAAAGGTGTGTTTCTGTTGTAGTTATAAATGCAATGGACATGAACAAAAAATAATATTAAGAAATTGAACTTATCATTATATGTTTGTTGAGTCACTTGTAAGGGTTCTCGACCATAACAGTGCCTGTCCAGTCCTGATGGAAAGGTTGGCCTACCATGCAGACAGGATGTGAATGCTGAATCTCTAGTTGTTCTTTAAGGCTAATAAGCAAGATTGCCTAAGAGCCAGCTGTACATGTCACCAGCACACTTCAAAACCATATGTGTTCTATCGAAATTCTCCCAAGGCTGAGGCTGCTTTTGTCACCGTGATGAGCATTGCCATCGTATTCCTGTCGCCCTGTATTCTATCCCGACAAGGGGAATGGGACATGTCAGTGGTATTTGGATTGGGAAACCTCCTGAAAATAAAGGGAGAACTCATGAATTTTCCTGGTTTAACTTCTAGGTGAGCCAGTGTACTCAAAATTGGAGTCCGGGAAGAGTGCCACCAAACACGACCCCGTGGTAAGTTGTGGAAATTGACATCTACCCGTGGATCCACAAGGAGTTTCTAGGTTTCA